AGATGGAAAGGTGAAGCTTTGTCCAACAGTTTCGGCCCGTGTTTTACACTGCCACAACTATGAGCTGACAGCTCAACACAGAGGCTCTTTACTCCTCCGTTTGTTATCCTGCCTCAAAATGGCAAACTTGTGCTGTCTCAATGGGATAGAAACCTTAAAGACAAAACATGAGAGTGAAAATAACTTTAACATTAAACACGTATGGCTGTAAAGGAAAACAGTGATAAGGTGATTGCTCTTTTGGCCACTTAGTCATCAAGTGAGGAGGACTTGGACACGTCTTGAATACGTCCACTGTGTGGGTTTATAGACACATTAGCAGAATGTTCCGATTCTTAGTACCATTCTTAAAATTTTAAGTATGAAGTGAACAAAGCATACTGAACACATTTTATTATCAAAGTAGGTTGTCACTCTGTGTAAGGACCATTGGTTATATCATTCAGGGTATGTGTAGATCTTAAAAAGTCAATAAATTTACTTTCCCTCAAAGAAGGCTTTAGAAGCATAGACTGTATAAAAAGAAGTGGATGTAGCCACTGTGATGTCACCCACTGGTTTATGGACTACCGTTGTGAAGCCTCGAGTTTGGCATTTTGGCTGTCACATCTTGGTTTTTTGGAGGGAGAAGTGACATATTTGGACGAGAGGGTTACTGTTAGCACTGCAAATGCTAAATTATCGGCTACACTACCACTAGCTTGGTACATCCATAGCTCACGTTAACTGTGATATTAATATTAATGGCATGCTAATTTTGGCTTGCGACAAACAAAACAACTTGTCAACAAAGTGTCTTAGCATAAATCAACTGAACTGATTTTTAGGCAACAAAAATATTACAATTACTTTAATGAACTGGGTCAAAGCTCTAAGACCAAAACACAGACAGTTCCCAAAAACGAGTAAATTGCTATTTGAACGTAGACAGTTCCATGGTTATGCATTGCTATGCCTCTATCCTGATTGAGTTTGCCGAGGTAGTGACAATCGTTCAATCTATGGTACAGGTGGATTTTGGTGTCCACGTTGTAATCAGTTTAGTTCGTACTTAATGGCTGAACCAACAAAGGACATCAGCCAGTGACACCTGCCTTGGTTCCATGACAGATGAACGCCTATCCTTGGTTGTAACATGCAAACAGTATCCTGTATCTTGTATCGTTCGTGTTAATCCTGTAGAAATCTGGTCGTGTCTGTCCACCTGCCACAGTATTTGGTGCTGTCCAGTCACTTTAGCTGTTAACCACAGCCCTCCTGAACCCATGAGCCACAGATAACAGTAGTATGGGTGCAGCACTGCCAATAAGGCCCCAATCATAATATTTAAACACAGCATGCTTGTAATTCCTGGGAGGGATTTGAGAAGTGCCCCCCCAACCCGACCCACCACTGATCCCCAACAAGCCTTTCTGCTCACTAATGATTTGTGAATGTGTCTACCTGCGTGCTTGTCTGTCTGTCCGTCCACCATTGTTTACAAAAATTTACCCATGTCATGCATCCATATGGTCTCTATGAGCCAGTACTGTTGTTTATTGTATTCATTTGAGATTTTTGCTGTATTTAACTGAATTTCTGTTTTTAACCCATTCTTTTTATATGATTTAATTTATTTATATTTATTTAAGGAGATTTCCTTAATGCCTTCTCAAAATATTGTATTGTAGGCGGTATGTGTGTTTTTGTTACGGCACATGCGTGTATGATTGTGTAGATCATGTATAGTTTTCAATATGGTAGGGCACATACGTGTTAATGTATGACTGTAAATCTTGCTGTACCAGTTTGATTCATTTGGATTCTTTTGTGACACAACTGAAAGGATGATTGTGAATGGTCCATGGAGACACACATACGGACCATCCTGGAAACACACTGACTTCCACCTTAAAGGTCCAGATAACACTCACAGTTAATCTTGTCTAAACCTTTTTCTTCATGAAGAGACTGAGTGTCGCTGTGTGTGACATACGGCTTGCTCACTCAGACATACACACTCCACATAGATTACATGTACATTGACACTGTACAGACTATGTAAAAATAAGTATATAGAGAAACGAGAGGAAAAGGCACCATATGTAACAGTGGAAGTTTACTGTGGAAGTTATTGTAAAAGGGTGGGGGGTTGTTGAATTTTCTCTTTTTTTAAAGTCTTGTTTAAGTGTAACTTTTCCTCACATTGATAGAGGTCTAAAAGTCGCAATTTAATCCCCATCTCCGAACATCCATTCAAGTACCAGAAAGTGTTTTTAAGCCCCAATATCTGTAACTGTAGATTCATACTGATGAAAGAAGTTATTTGTCTGGAGGGAAAGTTTGACCTTTGTCTGGAAAAAACAGAAATCTGCAGAGAAACATTCCTACATGCTGCATGCGTCATTGAGATTATGAGATGCAGAGGTCAGCGATCAATCCACAGTCCTCCCTGTGGGACCACTTGAGATCAGCCACCTTTCTGCTGAGTGCAACAGAGACATTATGTCAATGTCCTACTAGTAATCTGGAATACATATTCAGTGTTTGCATACATTGTACTGGATAGTGTGGCAATAATACAGTGGGAATTTAACTTACTTACTGATGGATAATTTATGTAATCTACAGAAAAAACAACAGCAATTAGATGATCAGTGCTGGTTTCCTTTACATGAAAAAGTTGGCTAAGAAAATGTTAAGATGGTTAAGGCAGTTGCAAGATGGTTTAAACAAGTAGTCCCCCACATTTCAGGAAACGTACTTGTTTGCTGACATAAATTTCAAAGTAAGTCATCCGAACAAAAGTGTTCTGTTCTGAATGGCCACACTGGAGCGCACCAGAAATCCTGCCATTGTATAGAGGTAGGAGACATGAGGAATTGTACAATATAACAGCACACACGTTTGGAAGACTGAAGAATGAGTTTAACAGATATGTTCAACATAGGGCTTTGATTGGACCTAAGCCTGAAAACATTTTGTGCAAGCCCGAACCAAGCCCAAACCATGGAGGTAGTTTTGGGCCAGAGCCCGAGTCAAACCCGGATTTATGCTTTAAATAAATAAATAAATCATGCAAGTAGTTAATTACATGCTAAAGTAAACTACAATCTGCATATTATATAGTGCAAATGATCTAAACTAATAACAAATTCACTCACTCATTACAGTTGTATGTATTATTAATAAAATGTTAAATATAGTATTAAAAAAATTCATTCTCTCTGAGCCCAGTGGGTTGTGTCCAATCAGATTTAGGCAGAGAATGAATGCTGTAGTTCAGTTCTTTTTTTAACCTCACCTACCTTCTAGCTAAGACAAACCATTATTATAGCTAATAATGGTTTTGGAAAGGTACAGAAATGGTCAGACAAAGCCCCTCGATGTCAGGGAGGTGTGCAGGAAAGTCGTTTCAGACTGTTTGACTATCAGACTAGCATTTTGCTTAAAGCTTGCAGACAGTCAGTCGCAGTCAGTTTGGTTCCTGCACACAATAAGGAAATACACCAGGTTTGGAGTGATGGCCAACTGTTTCTTAGAGAAAAAAAAATAAAAAAAAATCTCACAATCAGAATCACTCAACCTGTCCCTCATTTGACAACTGACTTCTTTATGAGGTATGAATTTCGCCAAATGTTTTCATTTTATTTCCTGTAAAAGCAATTAGTAAATGAGGAGATAGACAGGGCAGGCTGAAATGTGTGTATGAGTGTGTATGTGGTGTGTGTTTTTGAGAGTGTCTTTGTTTTATGTAACAGATGGTTGTAGATAGACCCAGCAAATCAACCAGTTAGCATGCAGACATAGGGTCTTCACTCTCTTTGACTTGAATTTACTAAAATATGAGAATATACAAGGAAAACAAAACAGAATTTACAGAACATAAGTGTTACAGTATTTAGCTTTAAAAAATCCACTAAGAAAAAGATTAAGCTCTTTTTAATCCGTTTTTCTGATTGTTTTTTCTACTTGGTTCCTACTAACGATGAATTGGTAGTCACTGTCGATGCTGTTTGTCTAATGTAAAGAAAATGACAATGAAGAGAAGGTGTGAGACAGCTGCTGTGAAACTGCTCTTCGCCTCGATGTCAATCCTCCAGGTTTTTCAGTTGTATCTTAATGTCCACTGTCACTCACACTCTGTCCAAGGGAAGACACTGGAAGTGTAACGGACGTTGGTTTAATAAATGATTCAAATGTCAAACTAAGACAGGATGCTCTTTTACTTTCCAACTGTGCCTTGGTGCATTCGGTTACAAGGGAACAAATTCAATGATTTAACACACATGGAACTAGTGAAGTGTGATTCTACTGAAGAGGAGCCATTTTTCTACTGAAATGAAAGACTTTGCCACTCAATGAGGAACTGAAGAGGTAATATGGCTTTCTTCAAAGCCACCAGACTCCTTAAATTAAAAAACCTTGAAGAACACGGGAGTTGATGGCCTATCGCTGACCCGATTGATAGGTTAGTGTTATTGTGTGACTTTGATGATCCAAACTAAAGTATTAAAACACCAAAGCCAGTCTGATGGCCTCTAGAGAGCACAGATGGATGTAACCTCTTCAGTTCCCTTCAGGGATGTCAGATGTGCAGAAGGTAATGTTGTGAGAATTTTCTAAATATAGCATAAACATGTATTGATTTTGCTTCTGCCATGACCACAGAAGAACTTGTGAGACGTTTTCTTCTGTCCAGCCCCTCCCCCCTCCCCTTACGAACAACTTTTAGTACTTGATGAAAGCTCCTTGTGGTTTCTCAGTTTGATCAATAGATGTAACGCAAACAACGCAAAACAGTTCCTGTGGTGAAGACTGCAGACTCTCACAATGCCTGACATCATGTGCAAACAAGCAATTGCAAAGCTAAATGTATGTTCTACCATAACTGTAATTCTGAT